GATAAGTATAATTAAAAGAATTATTCCCCTTACTTTTATAATATCTCAGTTAAAGTTTTAAATAATATTTAAAAATAATCCTTTTTTTATCTCTTTCAGAAATATTCAGAGAAAAGTACTATTTAAAGTATTTTGCTATTAAATGAAAATTACTCTAATTTGAAATAAACCGAATAGAGCATTAATTATAAATTCACTTATAGTTTTTCGATTTAAAAGATGCCTCAGAAGCTAAAAAATCATTTATATAGAGAAAGTATTTTAGGAAGAAGCTGTATAAATATAAAAGAAATAATGCATAATTTAATAATACAAAAACTTTGATCTTAATTTTTGTAATCCTTAACCGACTAAAATCGAATTACCATACATTTTTTCTAATATAATTCATTATATATATTCTAATATAATTCATTATAAATATTTCATTCAAATTAAACCTTTCTGAGCAAACTGTTCTGTGAAAAATATAGCATTTAATTCTGTTCAGAATGAAATGCTGTTTAAAATTGTATTCTTTTCATATACTTAGGATTCTGAAATATTGCAGAAAAAGAAAATATATACATTTATATGTGTATTTACGACATAATTACAAAATATTTACATCCGATTGTGTCAAAATCCATTGAACGTAATGGTAAAACATTGAATGTTTTGATCACCACGAAGGAATATGGGAATAAGAGTATATGGGGAATAAGCGGTTAGTTTTCTCCCATACACTTATTCCCCATTGAATGTTTTACCATTAACCTGAACTTGATGGTAAAACATTGAATATTTTGGTCCCCAAGAAGGGATCGCCAGTGCTTCAAGCAGGGTATGGGGAAACTGGTTTAGGCCCACTCCATCTAATTCTACTCCATGGTTGAACCCACGGAGTTGGTTGCACCACATGCTTTCGGCAAAAACTAGTAAACATTATTATTTTTACCTTTTTTTAAAAATTTTAATTTATTATTTAATTTAGTGTTGTTACAGATATATGTATTTAAAGACTTTACAATTAATTTCTGCTTCTGCGGATTTTCTCTTATTACCAAAGATTTAACTTTAGAAACGTTAGAAACACTACTTTAGAAACACTTTCTCGTTAGAAACACTCTCTCGAGTATTCGTTTGTTGTCATCTTTCCACGCATAAATAATGATTGACGGTGTTTACCTTCTCGATTAATAACGTTTCTTAAAATAAGCAACTGAAGGAAATAAACTCTTAGAAATTTTTGTACTTCTCTATTATGTACACCGCTAAAAAAATAAATTTTAAAAAAAAAAAAAAAAATCTGAAATGTTTCAGATTTTAAATTACGTCCAAAGGGGCGTTTTTTTAACATTTTGTGTGTTACCTTTCTTTATTAAATATCATGTTCCTCGCACTTAAACTATAAGATCCAGTGCAACAGCAATATCGCAAAATAGTTTTGAAACAGGCATATCTTTAGAATTTCCGATACAGAGACTCACGCGTTCGGATAAAAAATGTTTTTTCTGCACAACGTTGCCATTGCTCGCTTTGAAATCCTTGAGTTTGTTAATCAAAAATTCGTCAAAGTTTTAAAAAATAGGAAATCGATCATAAAAACAAATTCAAATTTCAAATTTGGTCTTCCACATGCTCATATTCTTGGAGGATTACGTTATTCAAAATTCGATGACTCTATGTACCGTTTTTATCACAATACGAGAAATATACACTACATTTATGCAGATTTTTCATTATTTAATTTCTTCAAATATAATGCAGGACTCTAACATTTTGTGGCAAAGTTTGAAAAGTGAACCGACATTTATGAGTCCGACGCAAAATGCCAAAACGAAACTAATAGTCCTTCGGGATTCAAATCCCTTTGGACTAATAAAAATAAATAAAAAAAAGACATCTAATCCCGTCTATATCTCCTATCTACGGGCCGATTCACGAATTCAGATTGCGTTCTTCATGTCTCGAAAGCGCACTTAGGATATATTAGATTTATATATAGCTCTAACATAGTTATTTTGACACGAAATCGTACTTTTCTGAAATAACATACCATTTTTTTACATATTTCGATCTTACGACTCAAATTATGCAAATAAAATTTTGATAATTGGTGCGAAATTTAGGAGAATTAACAATTTTGTTGGCGCTTTTATTCAGTTTGCTCCAAAATTAGTTCACTTGGCGAACTTCTTAATATGTGGCAAACCTATTTCATTTCATCTTTAATAGTGCGTGAGAGGAAAAAAGACCCAATCCTTCCTTCTTCAAATAATTCTTTTTATTATATTTAAATTATAATGTTATTATTTTAAGCATTTTTTTTTTTTTTTTTCTTTTCGAATTCATTTTAATTGTTAAGTTGCTGGTTCTTTCGTAGCTGTTTTAAAAAATTTATTTACTCATTCGGACTGGTAGTTAAATCAAAGGGGCATCGTTTATTTATTTATTTATTTATTTTTTTTTTCAAAGTTCTTCTACTATTATTTTACATAGTTACTATTAGGTAATTTTTAAATTTTAGAATTTAATTTTAATGGTAGTTGAAATTTTTATTTTATTGGCTACATATTCACGAGCATTTTAATATATTTTTAATATAAATTTCCAGAATTTGATTGATTTATTTGAATTGCGTTTCTTTGGAACCCCCACTATATGCAAACTATTGACATAAAGTAAATATTTTCAAAAGATATATAAATAAGGAGATATATAACGCCTAACCGACTTAACTTACGATGAGTTGCTACTTAATCTTTCATTGTTTTTACACAATTAATCTAATTTGGTTCTTAAAATGGTATTATTTTAGTGAAATATTTTATTTGATGAAAGACAAGTGAATCAATATCAAACAGAAAAAAGTGTAAATAAAAAATAAAAAAAAAAAAAAAAGAATATAAATTTTTCGGAATTTAGGCCATGCTTCCTGCTTTTAATTTAGGCATTCTGCAAGTATAAAAAAGCATCCCAACTTTTCGAAACATTTTAGTATTTCTGACAATCATTTTATAAAGTTATCGCCTTCCATTTCATGAAGGCCCACAAAGGCCGACGGTAAAGTCGCTGACACTGGTAGTTCATCGGGGGTTCGAATCCGGTAAAACGGCTGGTTGCATGGGCGTTTTCGTGGATTTTCTCATATGTAATGGGTTTCAGCTCTTCCTGGTTCCTGAAAATTCTTCCGAAGGCATCCTTCTTTTAGGCAGATAGCCCTGCTTTGCCGTAATAATCCATTCAATCCATTTCATCAGTATTTGGTCAGAGTCTTTATCAGTCTTTAGAGGCTATGCATTTTGAAGGTATGAGCTGAAAGGAAAGACTGGTTTCATCAGGAGGTTTTGGTTTATTCAATTATAACAGAGCACACTAGTGTGCTCTGTCATAATTGAATCTGCCTATCTGCCTAACGGGAGGGATGCCTTCGTGGAGGACATTCTAAGAGAAATTGGTTCCTATACATGTTACACATGGGGAAAACCACGAAAATACCCTTTCGCAGGATTCGAACCTCGGACCGAAATACCAGTGTTCAGCTACTTTACCGCTCGGCCGCTGTTTCATCAGGAGGAAAAAAAACGCCTTTAGGTGACAGCCACATATATCAATGGATAAACTTCTGAATCTTCAATAATTCGACTGGAAATCAGGATTCTCGTTTATGATACGATGAATGTTCTATAAAGTAATTTAAATTTATACAACCATATAGTCTAAAAACTAGTCGCTTTCACTTTAATCGCAATGATATCGTTTTTGTCTTTTCTGTTAACCCAACAAGCTCATTGATGGTATTTTTCTGGTTACACGTCCAAGTGTTTTCTTTTGAACACCCAAATTCCTTGAAGTATCCGGAATGTATATTCGAAAGCGTCCAACATTTTTAAACATCTTGGTATGTCTGACAGCCAAATTTCCTTGCAAATTTTTGCTTACTTTTCTCCCTAATTTTTTTCTTTCCTTCTATAGTTATTTTCAGTGCTCACACAAGAAAATTAAGATTTTTCGATTCTAGACTTCCATAATTTCGATTTCTTGTCAATTTTTTTAAATATCAGTTACCTTGAATTGCGTTTCAGCTGAAGAATAGCTTTTCATTTTCTAGTCATTTTAACTATAAATAAAGTTTAAAACGAAGTCCAAAGGATAAATATTTGAATTAAAAGAGTTTTTGTTATAAATGACGGAGAAATAAAACTGCTCCAGCAACGCTTATCTTGTACCACTGGGTGACCCAATTCTTATATCAGGTGCTGAAAAATCTTAATCATATTATTTAGTTTTTAAGCCTGAATATTTCTATATTAAAGAAGATGTTTTTATACAGTCTACAACACGAGAGAAAATTACTACTTAAGACATTTTTTCTAAGAGGATTAATGTAAAAATTTATATTTATATTATATTTTTAAAGCTGGGACTTGAACCATACTGTCGAACTTTTAAAGTTTATTTACACGGTGGTTATAATTTAACTTTGAAATGGTCATAAAAGGAAAACTACCGAAATGTTATCAAACTGGGGATGTGTAAAGGATGGGGAATCGTGAACAAATTGCAAAAGTAATTGAATATTCATTGCATATTTGGTAGTATTAACGAGTTAACAAAATAATTCTGCTTTTGTGTCTAAGAACAACATATTTTAAATATTTACAAATAAATATTAAATTGGAGATTATTGGAGCTTCATCAGTTGCCTAGCATTTGAAGATTGTTAAATACTAATTGTTTGTTGCGAAGCCTAACCCAGGCTGCATGGTTCGTTTTCGAGTTTTCTAGGTTCTGTTTACAAAGGTTCTCTATGAAAGCATCTTAAAACCAAATAGCTCCCATGTTTTTCTATGTTCAATAACCACTAACATGTTTAAAAGCGCGATTTCCAAGGGAAGTTATTTATAGCAAAACTCGAATACTCATTAAAAATCATGTAGCTTGCCAATCGGGAGTAACATGAAAGATACGGCGCCAATAATTAAATTACTGTTATGATACGCTATTTCTAAACTTAGATGGTCATTCCTGTAATTGATTTGGAACTTCTACTAGAGCTGACGGTAAGAATTGAAGTGTAAATAAATTATATCGTTTGCAGTCTTGATTAATATAAAATTAGAAATATTTTCATAGAAAAATATTTTCATTCAGACAGAAAGTTTTTTGAAATATCTGCAATTACTTTATAAGAAGGATTTATTAATAACCGTAATAATTAATTATCACATTACTGATAATTATAATTCAGTTCTTGACAATTACATTCTAAATTAGAATTTTAAGGGGATAATGAAAATACGCTATGCATAAAAATACATTTTAGAATAAAAAATTAGTCGATTTTTTGTGTTTAAAAACTTCCTAAATTCATTTAATAAACATCGTACCCTCGTTGGTAATTGAATACATAATGTTATGTGTCGTTTATCTTACTTGTTCACAGAACCTGCTGACTTATCGAGCCATTAAGTAGCTGCATCATTTCTACATAAGATCATTTCTACAGAACCATTGAACTTCCATTAAATCGGTCTCTAAGAAGGTTGTATATTTATATTATAATTTGACTTTTATAAAAATGATTATTCTAAATCTTATGTTTCTATAAAAATATACTGTGCTTTAAAAATATGGATGATAGTATCAGCCGCTCTTTGAGCCACTTGATAAGCAACAGCTTGTTTAGAAATAAATTTTGCAGTTAATGTCATAAAATATTTTCATAAAATTCAAATAAACATCAAACGAAAGTTCTCAGTTTTAGACAATTCGATTAAAACGAAGTTAAAGTAAAGTAGCAGACGATAAAATTCCGAAGATAAAAATTTACTCTTACAATATGTTTTTTAAAAAAGGAAGAAAGAGAAGAAATTTTAAAAAAAATAGTTAAAAATTTGAATAATATCATCTATAATAAAAAAAAAAATAGCTTTTCATATAGTATTAATAAATATTTATTACGCATCATTGAGGGAAAAATTTATATATTTAATTCTCCGCCAAAATTTTTTTGAAATTTAAGGTTAAAAATAGCTGTGGCAATTCATTGTAACAAAATCCCATAAACCACATTTGGCGTTATTATTGCTCAAAAAAAAGATGCTAAATTTTCAAAACGCGAAATATGTAAATCCGTGTATATCTTAGAAAATTTTGATAAAAAAGTCTAATTTTTTGCAGGTATGCTTAGAAATCCACCTACTTTAAGATGATGGTAAAAATTTTATAGGTTATTATTCAAAAATGTTTTAGAAAAATTTATAAAAATTATTTAAAAATAAATTTAAAAAATAAAACACAAAATGGGTAAATTTTATTTGGAATGAAGCTAAATTTCGAAATGTGAGGAAAAATCAAAAAAGTTTAATTAACATTGAGGAGCTAAAATTTTGAGAGCTAATATTTTAAAACTACTCGTACGATTTTTAGAAAACTTGGCATTCTGGCATAATTTGAGTAGTAGAATCGAAATATGGAAAAAAAATTGGTATGTATATCAGTAAAAGTCCGATTTTGTGTTAGACTACCTATGTTAGAATAGTGCTATATATAAATCTAATATATATCCTAAGTCGCGCTTTCGAGACATGAAAAACGCAGTTTGAATTTTGTCAATCGGCCCAGTAGAAAACAGGAGAACAGGAGATATAGCACTGTCCACCCTCCCTTTTTTTTTTTTTTTTTTTTTTGAGCAGTGTACCTGCCACGCTTTTTGACGCTTTGAAAGAAAAACAAACAAATACCGATACCCAATCATAGAGACATTTGGGACCAAACCATTTGTGTGTGTGTGTGTTTAATTTAATTTAACACATTTAACTCTCTGTTCGTAATTAAAAATCCTGCCAAAATGCGTGGCAGGTACTAACGGAAAAGTACCGAAATTTTAATGCCACGCATGTCACGTTTTTAAACTATGAAACAGGAAAACTTTCTTCGAAAAGCGCAATAACGATCACAACTTATTCATAGGCTATATCTAGAAAGAAAAGAAATTGAACATAGCAAAAGATATTTCTCATTTCAAATAATAAGCTATTGTCAGAAATTTTTATGGCAAAATAATTGCTTTTTAAAAAATTATTTATCGAAATCGTTCTAAAATGTGTAAACACACTCTATAGAATACAGTGTATTGCTTTTTCACTGTATTGCTTTCAATTCCCCAAGTCAAAATCTGCATACACGGAGTTTCGAACAAGATCTCGTCAATACAGCTTAATATTTTTAGCAGCTTAATACAGCTTAATAATAAGATAATCAATACAGTTTAATATTTTTATCAGTTTTTTCTTTTTCTAAGTACTGCAATAATTTTAAAGAGTTAGATTGTATCAGCTCATATTTATAGAAGAAAGTGAATAGCTTATTATGTAAGGGGGATAAATTTAATGTCTGAAATAAAAGAGATAGTTGCTCTTCCACATAAGATAGCTGGGAATATTTTAAAGTCTAAACGACTTCCTGGAATTATGCAAAAGAAATTTTGTGAAAAGTATTGTAATGGCTGCAAGACATATTTCTGAGATCCGAATCTAGTGAAGGAAAGCGTAACTTTAAAAATAGAGGAAAATACTTATTTTTTGGCTGTTTGAAATGCAATACCAGAAGTAAAAGATTTTTGTAAGTGATAGCAAAGTAAATAATGTTGATAAATAGTATATTTTCCTTCTAGGTTTTTAACATGAAGGGATGTTGAATGCAAACTACTATTTTTAACTTTATTATCACATTTACAAACGTTATAGAATGCATATTATAATAAAAATTTTCAATTTATTTGGCGTACTGTATCCCGCTTATATCTCTAAAGTTATAATATACAAACGCACAAAATAATAGCAGCTTTACATTAAAGTAAGCTATTGCTGTTTCAACAAAATCAAAGGGTAAATGGCCAAAGGCACTTAAAATTTTCCTTTTCGTAGCTGAAGCTAATTTTCGAAAATATACTAAAATACATTTTCTCATTTCAAGATAACTCATTTCTGCATAGAAGATTAAAAATGTATTTATTTAGTTCTTCGAAAACAAGTGTAGCTCATCTTATTGCACACCGTTCTTCTTAAAACAAATTTAAGGCAAAGCACTCGAGGGCTATCTTCCAAGAGAAGGATGTCTTCGTGGGAAATTTGAAAGAAAAACTGGTTTGTGTTTACATTCCACGTGGGAAAAACCATGGAAATGCTTTTATGCATCTAACGTATTTTCCGGTTTCGCCGAATTACCAGCGTTCTCTGGTTTTATCCACTCAGCTACTGGTAGGCTACAAAGAGCTTAAAGGTGCTCATCCTTGAGCTCTCTCAGGTACTGTTATTCTCATGACGGATTCTTGAAAATTAACAGATATTCTTACAAAGGATCGATTGAAATAGTGAATTACGGTTCCGCAATTTATGAAACCGTCAAAAGACTATGAAATTTTCCCCTTCGAGCAATGTTGTAACTTGTTTACGAGCCAGTTTCTTTTAGAATATCCTGCACGAAGGCATTCCCCCTTTAGGTAGATAGCCTTCGAGTGCTTTTCTCTAAATAAATAAAACAAACCATTAGATGGTTGGTCTCTACTTAACTAACAAGGACGAATTCAAATTTCATCATGGTAAAGGAACTATTGCATTGACCATCGCACTGATAGAATTTAATAGTGAGTATTCTAGATTTAATCGATACCGTTTGAGAACACTGGTTGAATGCGAAAGGTAATTCAATATGATTCGCGACACCGTGAAACTGTATCATTGGTTATCACTAACTTAAATATTCAAAGTCTGGTTACAAAGTATAACGATCTTATAACAGCTGAAATAACAAAGCAGTCCGATTGTAATCTAATTCAGTTGCTTTAAATTGTAGAAGAAGGATAGAAAACATAAGAGCCAGTGATATATGTATGGTCGATATTACAACTAGTAGACAGTCGCCTTTTATATATGTTTACATTCATCACTCAGTTAATTTAATCGATTTAAAATCGTTTCTGTTTTACGCACTTATGAGATACTCAAGTTTGGTCATTGATGAAGATTTCGATATAGATACAGACGTGGCGACTATTATGATGAGAGATTTTAATGTAGACGCGAAAAGAAATGAAAAGGCATTCGATTTCCTGAAGCAACACCTGGTACCTTCGAATTATCCAAATATGCTTGGCAATTCGTTTATAGATCGGACATTCACATGAAATATTACTACACATTTATTGAATTATGTTTCTTATTTCTCATATCATCGTCCTATATTGCATACAATAGTTACGAATAGAAGTTGTACACAAACATGAATAAATATTATTTACAATTTGGAACCGAAATATATATATAATTTTTTTTTAATCCGGAGTCACGAAAGGAGCAATAAATCTACGCATTAAACCCTGGCGGCCTGAAACAGACAGCCTCCCGTCATTTTTTAATTTCTTTTATACTATTAAGGGATACTTCGAGATGCGTAGACCTTAAGATGTTTTTAAGCTAGCAACACGGTATAGTTGGCCCACTTATTATTAGCCTTACACAATTTCCTCATCAAAATCATTTTTACTTTTATTTTTCTCATTGTGGAGCAGCACAACTTTATGGCGTATGTCTTCAAACTCATTTATGTAGGTAGAGGAAAATCCCGATTCCGAATGAACTTGAAATAGTTTTGTTTACTATATATACAGATAATACGAACACCTGTGAAATAATGGAAAATCTTTATCAATAGGGAGTTGGACCACCCTTTGACTGAAGTACAGTTTGAATGCGACGTAGGATAGATGCATAAAGATCATAGAAAGTATTTAAAGGAATATTAAGCCAGTCCTCCTGCAGAGCGGTCTCTAATTCCGAAAGTCCGGATGGAGGTGGAAATCGGGAATGAAGTTTGGATTCCAAATATGCCCATAAATGTTTAATAATATTCAAGTCTGAGAGGGGGGATGTTCAATTGCATCGTAATGCTCTACGAACCATTCTTGAATATACCTAGCAGTGTGGATAGGGGCGTTGTCATTTTGAAAAAGCAGTTGCTCCCCAGAGAATACAATCTGGATGAAAGGATCGACATAACG